ACTGTGGATTCACTCAGTGATGTAGATGAATATTAAATGCACTTTGCAAGCCCCCACCGCCTGTGTCTGTGTCCATTGGGTGGGAATGGCTGGGGAGAGAGGGGGGGTCAATTGAGGAAAAGGGAGACATATGTAAAACTTTAGACAATAATAAAAAATAAATAAAAATAAATTTTTCCCCCCAAAATAAATAAATAAATGCATTTTGCAAGTGAAAAAGCCAGATTCAAAAGTGTTACAGATTCCATTCACATAACATTTGTAAAGAGGAAAACTATGGAGACAACACAGACTATATGCCAGTGAATGGGGAAGGGGAGAGTGGTTGACTATATAGGAGATGCCAAGGGTCATTTGTATATAATGAAACTATATTATATTTTACTGGGCTGGACAGTACATGCCTCTATGCATTTTTCAAAACCCAAAGAACTGTACATCACAGTGAGTGAATATTAATGTGTTCAAATTAACAACAACAACAACACCCCAGGATGTCAGGGGATTCCAGAACGGAATGCAGACTGTGACAAATGAACTGAGTGAACTGTAAAGGTGTGTATGGCATTACCTCCGTGAAGGAGGTGGGGAAAACAAGCTGACGTAAGTACTTTTGGAAAATGGTGTTTTGACAGTACACCCCTAAAGACAAAAATAACTACAGTTGACCCTTGAACATGGGGATGGGGAGGTTTAGGGGTACCCACCACCCACACAGTGGAAAATGCACATATAAATGAAATCATCTCTGCAAACGTGAATTTCTAATCACGGATTCAAAATATGTATGTAAATATTATACTCTAGTTAGTAATCTGTTTCCCAGGGAGACTACTTCACAAGTATAATGGAATTGAAAAAATAAGTTAATAAATGGTAGATAATGGAAGCCAGGTTTTCATGGTCACAGAAAGAAGTTGCAAATAAGCAAAGAAGGAAGGCTAGAATGAATCATGTAAAAGAACGAGGTTATTAAGAACAGAGTTCAACTATATGCAACCACAAGAATGAATCTCACAGACATACTAGAATATATAGTCGGGTTCCATTTACAATAATTCCAGAGCAGTCACAATGAACCTATGGTGACAATCTAGATAAGGTGACCTTTCCAGGACAGAGCAGCAGAGCCTCCTGACTTGCTGGAAGCACTGCGCGTGTCTGCCCTGGGTGGGGGCTGTTCAGGCTCGTATCTATGTAAAAATCCATCAGTGAGCTCTAAGATATGTGCGTATTGCTGGATGCAGGTAAAAAACTAGAAGAAATAAGAGTAGTGGGACTAAGGAAGTCAAGTGTAGGCAACTTTTCCAAGAATAAGACAACTCCTCCAAGAGTTTGGTTGTACAAATGTATTAGTCAACGTTTAGAAACTGCCATGGAGCCAGGACTGTTTTGTGTGTTTTATTTTCCCCAAACAAGCACCGTGAGCATGGGTTTTTGTTTTGTTATGTTGAATAGAGGTAGATAAAAATAGAAAAGAGCCTGGCCAGTGTGGCTCAATGGTTGAGCATCAACCTATGAATCAGGAGGTCAGGGTTCGATTCCTGGTCTGGGCACATGCCTGGGTTGAAGGCACGATCCCCAGTGTGGAGCATGAAGGAAGCAGCTGATCAATGATTCTCTCTCATTGATGTTTCTCTCTCTCCCTCCCGCTTCCTCACTGAAAAAAAAAGAAAAAAGAAAGAAACAGAAAATAAGTGAAGAAGTAAGGTCCCAGGGAAGGCAGGAGATGTGAGTTAGTCTCTGGCACAGGAAGTGGGCACGGCAGGGGGCAAGATCTCTTCCATAGAGAAAGGGAGCTACAGGTATGAGTCAGACAGATGGATCTGTCAGTGGAGGAGCAAGAGCAGGACATGAAGTGGGTTGTATGCTGAGACATCAGTGGCTCAGGGAGTGGTCAGTTTGGATCAATGGTTGAGTGGGTGGGAGAGCTGGTATAGGAGACGGCTGATCAGAAACAAAGAGCAGGTGTGGGCCGACCAGTTAGCAGTGTGCTGGCATCACACTGGCAGTAGGTGATGAGGGCTTAGACTAGGATGTTAGTGGTGGAGCTCATGGAGGTAGTGGATTCACTTGATGTGAAAAACAAAATAAGCAAGATGAGGACGGCTGGATGCTGGGCTGGACGGAGGCAGAGTGCAAGGGTTTGGCCAAGGTTGTTCCCCCTTCTCAACTGTCTGAGTGACAGGCCATCAGTGCAAGTAGAGGATAGAGGAGTGGGCAAGATCGTGATTTCCTTCTAGGCATGAAGAATCTGATGGAACATGTGGAATATAATTGAAAAATAAGTGTTTGGAAGGGACTCAGCTGGGCTGAGGAGGGGCTGGTGAGAGACACTCACTGGCAGGCTGAGCAGGAGAGGGGCGAGACCATACTCTGCAGTGGTGCCAGTCAACACCCTCGATGACTCCAACTGCCTTCAGCAGCTGAGATGTAGGACAGACAGATTCAAATGTTACCTTGAGGTTTTACAGTAAAAGAGGGGCAGGAAGCCAATGGAGCCAGGGATTGCTTCTGCCTGACAAACAGGAGGATGGAAGAATGGATGCAGAAGGGTGGGAACCGATTACAGGCAGATATAGTAAGATAAGCTCTTTTTCTTCTGAGTCCAGAATGACATGTGAGATATTATGCTTTGTGATTGAAATCATCACATGAAAGATCCTAACAGCTGACTTTTTTTGAGCTCCTAACTACAGCTTAGGCATGGTACTAAGCATTTTCATGCATTCACGATTATACCTTCAAACTGCCCAATGAGTTTGAAATTATTTCTACTTTTTTCAAGAGTAAGCAGAGTAAACCAAACCCATGTGCCTTCTCCTTGGGCACACAGCTGAATCCTACCTCCCTGCTACATCCAGAGGGAGGGCCAACCGCTGAGTCCTCATTCAGAATGCGAGGTGAAGTGATGCGTGTGTGCAGCTGGACTCTACCTTCCTCTCGTGAGCCCTTTGCAGCAGAATGATGCCAGGGTAACCATGAAGCCACATATGGATGACAAAGGGCACATGGTCTCTGAACAACTGTGTGAATGAACTCCCAGGCTGACCCACATGGACCCTGTTATGACTGAGAAAAATATTTTTCATGTGTTGAGCCACTGACATTTTGGAGGTTATCTGTTACTGCAGTGAGCATTAACTGAGCCTAACGTAGCTAAACGAGGCCAAGCAATTGGAGCCAGAGCCTCACTCTTACCTGACAGAAGAGGTTCTTCATCTGGTGGCAGTAAAGAATGTGTTGAGGAGGGAGGACAGGAGGACACCAAGACACCCAGGCACCCAAGGGGCCGCAACAAGAAGCTTCCCACGGAGTTCCAGGGGCAACGGTTAGGCTCCCACAACACCCACCGTCTACATCTCGGCCACCCACCTGCACAGGCACTTTGGGAGAGGCCTCTCTTCACAATCCATAGCTCCTGCCTGTGCTCCGTTAGGTGGACAAGCTCTGATTTAGGGACTGGGTATCCTGTTTATGGAGAAAGAAGTAAGATACACATATTTTAGCAAAGACAAAAAGAAATGCCTCAGTGCTGTCTGGGACTCCACGATAGAGAAGACCTTGGAGTGAGGCTGCTCTTGTCCAAGTTGATTTGCAACCGGGAACCAATGCCAAGAATACCGTCATTGGGTCCTAAACACCGAATAAGGTGGTGCTGGCTATCTATGCCGATCCGCCTCCCTTGACCTCCATCCTAGAGAATCCCCAAAATTGTTCCGATGTAGTCATAGGACCCACGTGCACCAGTGCTCAAAGAACAGCATGACCACTGCTACTGACTGCTTTTCTTTACACTGGCCCACTTTAATTTTATCTTAATACCTGCCTTTAAAAAGGGAATCCTGTGTCAATTTGAGAAATTGAAAAACTAGTTTCATTCACCACAAATGGAAAGTTACTATAAGAAAATCAAAATAGTACTATTTAAAAAAATAGTTTATTGATTTAAGAGAGGAAGGGTGAGGGAGAGATAGAAACATCAATGATTAGAGAGAATCATTGATTGGCTGCCTCCTGCACACCCCCCAGTGGCGATGGCATGTGCCTTTGACCAGAATCGAACCTGGGATCCTTCAGTTCGCAGGCCAACACTCTATCCACTGAGCCAAACCGGGTAGGGCCAAAATAGCACTATTAAGTCTCAGTGAACTCACACTGCTTGCTCAGGGCTGTGAGTCTGAGGCTGTCTCCTCTGTTGAAGAGGGAAATTACCAATAGTCAAGGGGCATTTAGAAAGACTCAGCTCGGCCCTGGCCGGGTAGCTCAGGTGGTTAGAGCATTGTCCCCCTACTCCAAGGTTGTGGGTTCGCTCCCTGGTCAGGGCACATACAAGAATCAACCAATGAATGAATAAGAAAGTGGAACAACAAACTGATGTCTCTCTCTCTCTGTGTTCCTCTTTCTCTAAAATAGAAAACAAACAAAAAAAGACTCAGCAAAAAATAAATACTTTCTCCCTTAACCGGGAGGGGGTGGGGGGTGGGGGATCTGGCCTATATAAGGCCCGCAAAATCATTTGGTCTGGCCCTGCTAAGGCATTAAATTTTAATTAAATGTTTGACCAAATATAGCAGGCTAGTTAAAAAAAAATTTTTTTTTATTGTTTAAAGTATTATATATGTCTCCTTTTTCTCCCATCGACCCCTCCCCGGCCACTCTCACTCCCTAGAAGAGGCTAATTTTTAAGTTGATAATTGTGTATGGCCCTTGAATGATGTTATAAAGATCATAAAAATGGCCCCTGGCAAAAAAAAAAGGTTCCCCACTCCTGCCCTAAAACCATCAGCAAGCAGGAAAAAAAAAAAAAGGAATGGCTTCCTCCAATTGCTCATCAATGCCATTGGTTGTGTTTGTACCCCCTAAAATGATTTTTCTTTTGATTTTTTGAAAGCTTGGAAGGGAGGGAGGAGGTAGGGGGAGAGAGAGAAACATCGATGTGAGAGTGACACATCGATTGGTTCTCTCCCGAACATGCCCTGATGTAGGCCAGGGATTGAGCCTGCAACCAAGGTACGTGCCCTTGACCAGGAATCGAACCCGAGACCCTTCAGTCTGAGGGCTGATGCTCTAACCACTGAGCAAATGGTCAGGGCCAAAGAAGCCTTTAAAATGAATTGTTGTTTAGAACAATAACCAGTAGAACTCACAACTCTGGGTGTGCTGTCTGGTTCACTCATTTCTGAACAAAATCCTATTACTCATGGGTCCTGCTGACTGGGCTGTGAACCAATCAAGCTTGGCTACTCAGCTTCCATCTCGTGGGAACCTGGAGAAGGGAGTCTAAACCAGCCTGTGCTGAAGTCCAGGTTGAGAGGTAAAGGGAAGTGTGGGCTCGGGACATCTGTGCAGAGACAGCCAAGTGGAAAGGGAGAGAGAGAACGAAAGAAAGTATATACAGAGAGAAATAGAGACAAGGAATTGGGGGCTTCTTAGAGCAAGGACAGGAGTGGCCATTTCTAGCTACCAACTCCCCGTGGCAGAAAAAGCCAATCTGCTGAGACCCACAAACAGACGTGAGGAACAGAAGTCTCGGGGGCAAGGCCTAATCAGATTCCTTCACTTTCTGCTTTAACTCTCTGCCGAACTGCACATCTTGCCCGTGGATGTTAAAGAAACCCATGTTTCCTCCTACAAATCCTTCTCCTTTGGTATCTGAGCCATTCGGAAGAGAACTACATTTCTTGCCCAAAATTTCCTGTAGAAGATACAGGGAGACAGACAGGAGAACATGAAACCAACACACACTGGGGCTGCGGGCGGGAGAGAGGGAGTCTTGTGGAAATCTGAACGCAAGGTGGAATGATGGAGGCTGTAGGTCCCCACAGAAAGGAGCAGTGAGGCCTTACCCAGAGAGACCAGGAGCCTACAGATTTCCAGCATCACTTCCCTGTAGAGGGTCCTCTGGGCAAGGTCCAGCTGCTCCCACTCGTCCTGGGTAAAGGTCACTGCCACATCCTTCAAGGTAACTGATGTCTGAAAAGTCAAACAGAGGTAGCTTTGTTGGCCCAGGGCCAGTCAGATAAGATTAGAGCCTCATGCCCAGTCGTTTGTAAAGGACCATAGAGCCCCGAGTGGTATGTGAGCACATGAACCCCTTCCCAAGCTCCAACTCCCCCTCCACCCTGTGGGAATATAATGAAGGCCCTCTGTAAGTGGACTGTGGGACCCCGGAAGCCTGGCAGCCCCTCGTCACGGAATGGCCAAAAAGAACCTGTGCCGGATGTGAGCCTGGACTGTAAACAGCTGGTGTTTTAATCACACAGCTTGCTCACGAGCCCATCCACCCTGCACGCACAATTTGTGACTCTATTTTCTGACTCTAGGTAACCCTGTACTACCAAAGCCTGTGTATGGTGGAGACTTCACCGACAGGCCACCCCCAGTGTGCACTAAGTCCTCATAAATTCATGTCTTTCACAGCCAGTTCTCTGAGTAATTTCCTTGAAACTGGCAAGCAGGACTCAGACCTCAGCTCTCTGCATAACAAGCCCCAAGGCCAGTATCATCGAGCACTTCCTAGGAACCTCACTCTGTCCCAGGTCCCAAGGACTCAGACACTGCTGTGGACCAAATGTGACTGTGTTGGAGACAAAAGCTTTCTACGCTGGAATCATTCACCAAAGACACAGGACAGTGGCAAGGCCGAATGGCCCGAGGGGCATAGACAGCAAGCACTCTGAGAATGAAGAGGAGCAGGGAGGACATGACAATGATCAAAGCACCAATCACGACAAAAGCAGCAGCAGTAGAGCCTCGCTGGTGCTCACCACATACGTGCGCCATGGTGGGGCTTCACATGCCATACTCTAGCAATTACACATTCCCGCCCTGGAGCTAGATTCCGACTTTGAATATTGTCTACTGGGAATGATTCTTGCCTGATCTGCAATCTGGGGGAAGTTAACTTATTTTCCTGAGCCTCAATTTCTGCATCAACACAGTAACAGTTCCCACCTCACTAGGTGGTTGTGAGAATGAAAGAAAAAATGTTCACGAGGCAAACTGCAGTGCCTAGCACATGTCAGTGCTCTATGTGTTTTTCCTACTTTCTTTACTCCACCCACAGCTACGATGCAAACACCATCATCTTCTCCACAGCAGTCAGTGAGGTTCAGGCAGCTCTAGCAAGTCACCTGGAGTCACATGTCCCAGGAACACAGATAGAATCTGAACATCTGTAAAACACACACAACCTCACCCTCCTGAGGCACATCTCAGAGACATTCCCTGCCCCTATAACATACACTTCCATCTGGCGGGAAGGTCTGCAGTGCCCCCTTGTTCCCAAGTCCACATGCCAAAGGGACACTTCCTGTCTTGCAAAGTTTTCATTAGTTGTAATCTCTAGGCCCCCAGTGCATTGTGGGTGAAAAGGTGATTAAGAATGCACATTCCGAAAAGAAAGAAAGAAAGAAAGAAAGAAAGAAAGAAAGAAAGAAAGAAAGAAAGAAAGAATGCACGTTCCGCCCTGGTTGGCTTGGCTCAGTGAATAGAGCATCGGCTTGTATACTGAAGGATCCTAGGTTCTATTCTGGTCAGGGGCACATGCCTGGGTCCCCAGTGCGGGGCGTGCAGGAGGCGGCTGATCAGTGATTCTCTCTCATCATTGATGATTCTATCTCTCTCTTCCTTTCCCTTCCTCTATGAAATGAATAAAAATATTTTTATTTTTTTTTTTTTAAAAAGGAGAATGCACGTTCCGATGGTCAGTGTACAGTGTGTTAACTTTCAGCTATTTAGCTCTGTGACCTTTGGCAGGTCTGAAGTTCCTCTCCTATAAAGCAGGGATGATAAAGGAACCTAACTCAGGTAGGGTACTCCACTTCAGCACAGATCAAGTGCTAAATGAAGGCCAGCTGCTTTGCTTGTTTTAGTTATTTTTTCTCTTTGCTCCCAGAATACTCTGGGGTGAAAAATCAACTAAACCCCATCTCTGCTTCTGTAACTGTACCAGATTCTGTGCACAAAGATTTCAGAAGATGGGCAAGTGGGAATGGGGATATCTAGAACTAGCAGAAAAGCCAGGGAAAGACCCATCTAAGAGGTGACACTGGACAGAGCTGGGAAGGAAGTAAAGAGGCAGCCCTGCAGCCATCTGGAGGCAGTTTTCCAGGCTGAGGAAATTGCATGGGCAAAAGCCTGGAAATGGGAAAGAGCTTGGATTGTTCAAGACCGCTTAGCTGGAGAGCAATGAGCAAGGAGGAAGGGAAGGAGAGAACTGAAGGGGAAGGGACAGAGGTGGATGTAGTAGGGCCTTGCAGGCTAGTCGAAGCGTCCAGAGAGGAGTCACTCACTCATTAACCACTTATGGAGCACTGATTACAGGCCCTGTACTGTTCCAGGTCTGAGGGGAAGGAATGCAAAATACCATTTCGAATGGCCCTAAAGATTCTACAGACATAACAGGATGAGGGTAACAAATTGAGATGACTTAAATGGGCTCAGTGGGGAAGGCCTCTCCAAGGAGGGGACATTGGAGGGAGCATGAAATGAAGTAAGAAAGGGAATCGTGTGGAGGACAAATAAATACAAGTCTTGACAGTAATGAGGTTATGACAAAAGTAAAGATGGTGCCATGCCAGAGAGCAATACAGGACCTGTTGTGTGTTTACATCTAAAGGCACAGCCCTAAGCAATAAAACAAAGAAAGAAAGAAAGGAAAGAAAGAAAGGAAAGAAAGAAAGGAAAGAAAGAAAGGAAAGAAAGGAAAGAAGGAAGGAAGGAAGGAAGGAAGAAAGAAAGAAAGAAAGAAAGAAAGAAAGAAAGAAGGAAAGACACAGCCCTGGTACACCATCATTACTGATGTTTATATAAGAAACATTCAAACCTGTAGAGAATTTTTGTAAGACTTTATTTGAGCCAAAACTGATGACAATTGCTGGAAAGCAAGATCTCAAATGTTTTCTGGATGCAGTTTTTATACACATTTGGAATTGAGGGAGCTTATATTCCTTCTAATTGGTTGTTTTGGATTTTTTAGGATATATTCCCAGAAGTGGGATCGCTGGGTCAAATGGGAGTTCCATTTTTAATTTTTTGAGGAAACTCCATACTGTTTCCCACAGTGGCTGCACCAGTCTGCATTCCCACCAGCAGTGAACTAGTGTTTCCTTTTTTCCATATCCTCGCCAGCATTTGTTGTCTGTTGATTTTTTGATGATAGCCATTCTAACATGTGTGAGGTGATATCTCACTGTGGTTTTAATTTGCATTTCTCTGATGATTAGTGACTCTGAGCATTTTTTCATATGTCTCTTGGCTATCTGTATGTCCCCTTTGGAGAAATACCCCAAAAAAACAATCAGAAAGAATGAATGCACCCCTATATTCATAACAGTGTTATTTACAGTAGCTAAGATTTGGAAACACCCCAAGTGCCCATCAGCAGATGAGTGGATAAAAGAGCTGTCACACATTTACACTATGGAACACTATTCAGGTATAAAAAAAGGGATCTCTTACCCTTTGGGACAGCATGGATGGAACTGGAGAGCATTATGCTAAGTGAAATAAGCCAATCTGAGAAAGACAAATATTACATGACCTCACTTATTTGTGGAATCTAATGAACAGAATGAATCGACAACAAAGTAAGACCCAAAGCATGGAGGCATGGAACAAACTGACATACCTCCCTGTGGGGTTACGGAGATGAGAAGAGACAAACCAAAGAACTTATATGCTTACTGGAGGCCTGGTGCATGGATTCATGCACTGGTAAGGTCCCTCGGTGTGGCCTGCGGGGATCTGGCCGAAACTGGCAGTCCAATGCCACCTGCTGCTCCTGCCTGCCGCTCCCGCTCATCCCGATTCTGCTGCAGTCAGTCCCCATTAGGAAAGGCTCACACCGCCACAGCAGCACTCACCAGCCGTGAGCCCTGTAGGGTCTGGCACCCATCGGTCAGCTGAGGGGCACTTCCGCTGTGGGAGCACACTGACCACCAGGGGGCAGCTACTGGTCAGTAGAGGTCATAGCAACCAGTTGACTGGTCTTTAGGTTGTTCAGTTGTTCGGTCCTTAGGCTTTTATATATATAGATAGGCATAGCCCATAGACACAGGCAATAGAGTAGTGAAGCCATGAGGAGGGTAGGTAGGGGCTGGGAGGATAGGAGTAAAGGGAGAGAAAAGGGGAAATATCTATAATATATCAACAATAAAAAGTATATATATTTTTATTGATTTCAGCAAGGAAGGGAGAGGGAGAGATAGAAACATCAATGATGAGAGAAAATCATTGATTGGCTGCCTTCTGCACGCCTTCTACTGGGGATCAAGCCTGCAACCCTGGGCGTGCGCTCTTAACCAGAATCGAACCTGGGACCCTTCAATCCACAAGCCAACACTCTATCCACTGAGCCAAACTGGCTAAGGCTAAAAAGTATATTTTTTTTAAAAAAGGAGTTTGCCTAATTTACTCCAACAGTGTAATTTACATTTTGGAAAAATAGGGTAAACAAAACAAATCTTATATAATAAAAGAGTAACCTGCAAATTAACCATCCCTCCACTATGCTCAAGCCACACCCACCAGCAATCAGGAGCAAGTATGCAAATTAACCCAGCTAAGATGGCAGTGGCCATGCAGCTGGAGCGAGCAGGAGGCTTGGGTTGCCCCCGGTGATGGAGGAAGCCAAGCTTCCCGCCTGCCCTGGCCAGGCCCTCGGCTCCACTCAAGGCTACAAAGTTTCAATTACAGAAGATAAATAAATCTCAGATACCTGCTTCCAGCCAGCTGCGGCCTCCGCTCAAGGAGGGGCTGGGAGCCAGGGCTTCCAGCCGGACCTGAGCTCCACTCAAGGCTACAAAGTTTCAATTACAGAAGATAAATAAATCCCAGAAAAAGAAAAAAAGGAGAAGCTGGGTCACCGGGGGGGCGTGGCCAGCCTGAAAACCTCACCCAGACTGGCAGGCACCCCAGCGGGACTCCCCCACCCTGAAGGACCCATGCACCAGGCCTCTATCCTATCTAAT